GCTGAGGGCATAGTGGTGCAAGATTTGCGGTATTACTGGGCATTGCTAGGCATTTTTTGGGGCATTAGTTTGGGCATTAGGCCTTGCTGGGGCATTATAAAGATAAAATAAGGTAAAATAAGAAGAAATAAGATAAAGTAATGCCCACCGGGCATTAGTGGGCATTGGCGTACAAGATTTTGGTCAGCGGTTTCCCCCTCGGAAGGACGACTCGTCGGATCGTCGGATACATTCTACGCGAATAATTGCCCACGGGCGTGTGCATACGCGAATCGCGCGACGCGACAACGATCGACTCCGTTGCGCGCCGGAAAAAGAATAGCAAAGTGCCCTCGCGTTGCGTCGTACAGCGCTTTTCATTTCTTCCTGCCGTCCGCGGCGAGTCTAATGACGCCCCTCCCTCCCCGACCCCGCCCCCTCTGTCACCCCCGCTTTCCCCGCCGGCGCGCTTCTCTCCGAGAAACCTCGATATTTCATTCATGACTTTCATGGAAATTATTGCGTTCGTCTCCGTCGGGGAATCGAACGGCACCGGGAGAGCCGTAACGCGGAGAAGACTCTTTGCTCTTCCGCAAATATCTCGGCGCGGTCGTGTCTCGAAATTGCGACTCGCGATCGCGAAACGCCGCCGCGGAGGATGGCAATTATCGTGCCCCAATTACGACGTAACATATCGTCGTCGAATTCCGCGATCGTTTCTGCGTTATTTATGCGGCTTTATTTACATAGGCGTCTTTATACTCTTGCAACCTCCTTGATCAATGTCCCTCGCGCGCCGTAGGCTCGTTGCAAATGTCTTGGAACAATGACACGTATAGTCGTAAGGTTTTTCTCGTTGAAAAGAATATGGTCAGGTGTCGCAAGCTGGGTGTATTCCGAGGGGGAAAAGTTATGGCGATTATGAGGAATTGAACCATAAGCGTATAGCTTTTCCCCTTTGGCGTATGTCGCTCCAACGAATCGATAGAGAATTGTTGTATATGTCGCGTTAACATATTACATACGTAAGAACACGGAAGGATATCCAGAGTATGCAGAACTCGTTCGATTGTTTCAGGCAGCAAGAGCTTGGGTTTACCATGGGCACGTTACTGGCTATAAAAGAGATCGTACAATATTCTCCTAAGCCTGAAATGGGGACGAGGAGTCCTTCAGCGTAGACATGGACTACGATCTGTTTGGTGAAGATGTCAGTGGCTCGATGCTCGAGGCTCTTCCTGATCTCGGAGGGAACGATCACTTCGATCCTGCGCCTGCGAATAATTCCGTAGCGGTGTCCAGAGACGGTCTGAATTCCGGCCCTAATGGAGGAGGGAGTTACATTAGCCAATCCTATAACATTTCTCAAGAATCTCCAATACAAAAATTAACCTCATTCGGCGGATCTGAATTTGGTGGCTCGAATCAATTGCAAAATCCGTCGCAGCGCAGCATGTTCAACCAAAATCTCGGTACGTTCGATAACAGCGCGACACCTCAGCGTGCCATGGTGCCGGGCACATTTCAAAATCAGGCTCGCAACATTGCACCGCAGCACAGGGGGCCTCATCCGGGTAGCGGCGGTCAGTATCCTAGCTACAATGACAATATATATTCTATGGAGCAGCAACACTCGATGGCGAGAGCCAACATGAGTATGGACCCTAGCCAACAAGGTTGGCCGGGCAACGGAAGTGGTTATCCACAAATGCAGAGGCATTACAATCAGATGGCTCCGCAGCCTGCCACGTACAGGCAACACATGCCGCCACAGTATTCTCATCAGCAAGACCAAGCTGGCGTTATCAATCAAAAGATACAGCAGCAGCAACAGCAGCAGCAACAGCAGCAGCAGCAGCAGCAGCAGCAGCACTTTGGTCAACAGGGGATGATAGGCAACATGGGAGTTTTGCATCAATCGATGCAGCCCGCCGCGGCCGGCGGTGTCTATCAGCACATGGTTGGGCAGCAGCAGCATTATCAGCAGGGCAATTCGGTAGCGGCGATGTATCAGACGTCTCCCGGTTATCCTGGCTTCGCCTCGGCGATTCATCAGCAGCAGCAGGCTCAACAACCACCCCAGGCGAGAATGCCGCACCATCATCCGGCGCATCCGACTCATCAACCGCATCCGTCTCATCCTCAGCAATATCCACAGCATACCCCTCAACACCCGAACGCGCAGCAACAGCCGACGATGGATCCTCAATATCCCCATCATGCCACGTCGATGTTCAATCAGCCGCAACATTCGGCGCCACCGCAGCAACAGTTCGGCACAGCGCCGGCTAAGCACTCGACGAGTCCGCAGTATCGCGCTGCGTTCCCGCAGCTATCGCCGCAAATGTCGCCGCGGCCGCAGATGTCCCCGCGTCCGCCGGCGGTACAACAGCAAATGTCACCCCGACCCATCATGTCGCCCGCCAAACCCACCACGCTCTCACCGCATCCTCACGTTCAGCTGCCTCATCAGCAGGGCAATCAGGCTAACGCGATGTCGGTGTCGCCCTCGTGTCCGCCTACATCTATGCAAATGAATCCATCGTCGCAACAGCAACAGCAGACTACTCTGCAGGCTCTCGAGCAGATGGTGATGCCGGGAGTCGCCGTGTCTAACTCCAGCGTCCCCGCTCCGGATCAGTATAATCAGTTCCAGGCACGTCCGCCAATGTCGCAGACACCGAATGTTCTGCCACAGCAACCGACGGCACAGAGTCCGATGCCAGGCCAAGTCACGGGGCCCAGAATGCCGATGCCCGCTCAGTGGCAAACGCACCCTCAACAGCAGCAACAGCCGCAGCAGCAGCAGCAGCAACAGCCGCAGCAGCAGCAGCAACAGCAACAGTCGCAGATTAGGCCAAATATCGGTGTTAACGAAGAGAGAGGTGGCATGATCGAACAGCCTCAGCAGCAGGCGCCGATGGTATCCGAGCAGAGTGCTCCGATGTTTCCCGTCGCTGGACCGGAGACCGCTGTTCATAACGTTGTGGAAACAGCGACAACGACGAGCACAACGACAACGAGAGAACCGACGACGACTACGACAGAGAACGTCGTTCAGAACCCGATTGAAACCCCAAAACCACCGGAACCCGAACTATCTTTGCATCAGAGCGCTCAGCAGAATCAGCAACCGGACGCAACCGCGCAACTCGGCCCGCCGCAGGTGGATACGTCGGCACAAAATAATTCGCAGAACAATTTATCCTTAGATCACGCATCTACAGTGGGAAACATATCTACACCGGCGAGTATGTCTTCAATTGAAACGGTGCAGTCTCTTCCTGCGTCCAGCACAAGTGGCAATATGGAGTGCACAAATGTAACGACGTCATTACAGCAGCAGCAGCAGCCGCAGCAACAACAACAGCAAACTGTTGCACCGATTCAAAATCCCGTTTCTGGCATCGAGAACCCGAGTGTATGCGAAACGAAGCCACAAGAACAAAGTATGGAGGTACATCAACCGTCACTGAATAGTACGACGCATCCACAACAAGCTATAGGACAGCAACAGCAACCGCAACATCCTCAGCAACAACCAATCAATTGTCCTCCACAGCAGCCAGTGCAGCAGCCGGTACAGCAATCGGTGCAGCAGCTTCACATGGCTCAGTCACAGATAGTTCAGCCTCAGGCAACGATACCGCCTCCTCAGCCGCAGCTGCAATCGCCACAACAATCTCAGATGACTCAGCCACAACCTGTTCAAATAAACCAGCAATTGCAACCACAGCAGATATCTCAATCGCAACCACCATCGCAACAACAACAGCAGCAGCAGCAGCTGCAACAACTTGCGCCTACTCAACAGCCGCAAATTTCTCAGCCGCAACAACCTGTATTGAATCAAGCACAGCCGGTACAGTCTCAACAAATTCCGCTAGCGCCTCAGCCCCAATTGGGACAAGCACAGCCACAGTTGGGACAAGTACAGCCGCCATTGGGACAACCGCAGCCTCAACTGGGACAGCCGCAGGCCCAATTGGCGCAGCCACAGCCACAGCCACAGTTAGCGCAACCGGTAGCTCAGCAGGGCCCGACTTGCGTTACGCAGCAGGCGCAATCGACAACGGCGACACCGCCGCAGGCGCAGCCACCCCTTATGCAACCTCAGCAGGTTGGCATGGTGCCGCAGGGCGCCGCGCTGATACCGCCTCAGATACCGCCGCAGATGCAGACGCAGCCGATACAAAATCCAACGTCCCAGATGCCGAATCAGAACGCTCAGGTGCCGCCCGGTCATTTAAACGCACAGCAGATACCCGCAGTCAGTCAGACCGCCGGTATGGTGTTACCGCCTCTTCAAGCTGCGGTTCCCGTGCCAAATTCGCAAACACCGCATCAGGTATTGCCAATTATCAAAGAATATTTTAACGTAATAATTTTATTTAAAATATTCTCTAACAATATATCTGTAAAATATATTTCACGTAACATTTTTCATTAATATCAATCGTTTTCAAATAAACAGTATCACCCTGGAGGCGACATGATCACCGCAAACACAATGCCGAACGTGTACAGCATACCGACTAATCCTGCACAGACCCCGGTTGCAGCGGGCGGTTTCGGTACGTCTTGTGCGCCGCTCACGCATCATCAAGAGCGAGCTGCGTTACAACAGCAATTGCAGGAGTTGTACTGCATGCCGCCGGCCCCGGAAAATCAGGAGAAGATTGTCGCCCTGCAGGAGAAGTTGCAGGCGTTGCAGCAGCACGAGACGAATGATCAATGTAACGATGGTCCGCAGTGTATACTACAAACGCCGATGTTTACAGCCGCTGTAGTCGACAGTCCCCAGGTAGGTGAACGCATAATCAATTGGTAGCTTTTCACGTAAGATTGATTGAAAAGTATTTTTTGTCATTTTTATGAACACAAAGAAACGAATTAAATTTCTGAACGAATTTCTCTAGTTTACGTATTGCGCGAAAAATCATACAACATAAATATGCATTTTGAAATAAGTGCGACGCAAAAGTAACGATCTCGGTTTTTTACTTTGCGCACTTTAGATCGTGTATAAACAACTAAAAATAATATCTTTGTCAAGAGATAAATGATCAATTATATTTAAAAGAAATATTTTATTTAGAATATCTTAAATTACTAATAATTTTTTTAATGCTGAATAAAAATATTACCATGACTGAGTTGGACTCACACTCAGTTAATAAATAAAATTGAAGAAAACTCAAAGTCATATGTAACATGCGAAATTACATATAATAAACGTAGATTTAAATAGTATTTTTTGGATAATTGTTACTTGTGCCTATATTGCGGCTTCTATTTGAAAAAAATCGTTCATTACCTATAAAAAATTTTACGCGAAAATAGGTCTCTAGTACTACTGGACGTGGTCGCAGCAAAGGTACGCCGCGAACAAAGAAAAGTCGCAAAAAAGCCGATAAAGAAGCATCTGCGCCTACCACTGCCACTCAGCAACCTGAGCAACCTTTGTCGGACAATAAAGTCACTCCAGGCGATAGCAGTAATATAGTAGACAGTGCTGCAGATTCGGAAGATATCAAGCCGTCTTCCGGAGATATGGAAGAAGAATGGAATAAGGGTAGAAAGTCACGGTCGCCTCGAAAGCCACGCAAACCGAAGGAACCTAAAGAGCCCAAAGAGCCGAAACCTAAGAAGGAACCAAAACCACCCAAGGAACCGAAATCCCCAAAAGTGGCGAGGAAGAGGAATAAGGATAAAGATAAGGACAAAGACTCCACAAAGCGTAATAGGAAGTAAGTTTGAAGAGAATGTACGTTACTCGCGTATTATGAAACAGTGTTTATATTTACTATTACTCTTATAGAAAAACTAATCAATCTGAGTCCGCTGACGACGAAGTCGTACGCGAAACCGAAGAAACTACGGTTTCCGATTCCAGTGCTGTTAAGGATGCCGAGACGAAGGTCTGTGAACCGTCCATACAGGGTGATCAGGAGCAAGTGGATTCTTCCACCAATGAACCTCTGTTGTCCGAGGTGAAAGAAGAAGGCAAGGAGAAAACTGGGGCGGACGATGTTACGGAAGGGGAAAAGAAGGAGGAAAGCTCGGAAGCGACTACTGCGACCGCTGAAAATACTACGAGCAGCAGTAAGAAGAAATCTGCAGCTAGGAAACGGTCGAGTACCGGCAAGTCCTCTGGAGGGAAAAGTTCCAGAAGTTCTAAGTAAGTGAAAACATTGTTTTACCGATCAATAATGTTTTATAATAATTAGCACGTATATATAATTATTATTAAACTTTATTATTTTTCACAGAAAACGCAAGAGTCGCATTGCCCCTGATTCTGACGGCGAGGAACTAGCGGCAACTCCTCCGCCATCGCCGGAAGCTGGCGACGATATGAATAAGCGGCGTTCTGCGAGGAACACTCATCGCAAGAAGTACGTAGACGACGTAATGTTGCGATTCTCGGACGATGATGTTCCTTTGCAAGATGCTCAACTTTCGAAGAAAGTGGAAGGTACAAACGCTTCAAAGCCTGCTGCCGCTAAGAAGGAAGGTGGCGAGGGCGGTGAGGTCGGGCCTAACAAACCCAACTTCGTATACATTGTATGTATCTTTTGAAATACTGACGGCTTTTGTAAAAATTGTTAAATTTTTTTCTATCTTTAATTGTATTTTTCCATTTTGTAGAATACTACGGATGAGGATTCTATGGTTGTGCAACATATTTTATGCTCTCGAATGGGAAGGAGAGAAGTTAAGCCCGTAATACCCAAGGTAGAACCAGCGCCGGAAAAGAATGAAAACGCGGATAAAGAATCTGCTGACAACAAAGATGCGATATCTGATGATGCCGTGAAAAAGGAAGATGCGGAAGACACGGAGAAAGAAGCAACGGCCGATGATGCAACCAAAGATGAGGAAAAAAGTGAAACCGATAGTGCGAAAAAGGAGGAAGCAAAGAAACCGGAAGAACCTCCCACAGATTCGAAACCAACCGAGACTACCGCCGTTGTCGAGACTAAGCCACAGTTTATCGAAGTCGAAGAATATTTCGTTAAATATCGAAATTTTTCATATTTGCATTGCGAGTGGAGAACGGAAGAGGAAATGTATAAAGGGGACAAGCGTATCCAGGCTAAACTGAAGAGATTCAAGCAGAAGCAGCAACAAAACACCAACATTTTCGAAAATGTACTTGATGTTTGTTATCTTAACTCATGAATATAATGTACTGATATATGATTGTGCGTTAAAAGTTAACATTGAAAATAATTTAAATTCCATCTATTTTACGAAAACCTTTTTTTTTTGTTTGTTTCTTTTTTTAGCCCGAGGATGATCCCTTCAATCCAGATTTTGTCGAAGTTGATCGAGTCTTGGATGAAGCGACTCATACAGATCCAACTACTGGAGAGACGGTCCGACATTTCTTAGTTAAATGGCGATCTCTGCAGTACGAAGACTCTACCTGGGAATTGGAAGAAGATGTTGATCCCGAGAAGATAGCTCAGTTCGTGAAATTCAATAAGGCGCCACCAAAGGAGCAGTGGAAGGTATTTTCTATATATATTTAAATATATTTTAAACAAAACTTAATGTGCATTTAAATTTATCGTTTCATTTATTTCCTCTAAAAGAAATTTATATATAATTTTTGTGCTGTTCCACAGCCGAAAAAGAAGCCGACTGCTACAGCTTGGGTTAAGTTGGAGGAATCACCAGTTTACAAGAATAATAACATCTTAAGACCATATCAATTGGAAGGATTAAATTGGCTGCTGTTTTCATGGTACAACGGACACAATTGTATTCTCGCCGATGAGATGGGTCTAGGAAAGACAATTCAGTCTCTGACATTCGTGGACGCGGCCTACAAGTACGGAATTCGCGGGCCGTTCTTGATCATAGCTCCGTTGTCGACTATTCCAAATTGGCAGCGAGAATTTGAGAGCTGGACGGACATGAATGTCGTAGTATATCACGGATCGTAAGTATATTAAAACAATTTTATCTATATGCACAAACGGAATTGTCACTGATACAAATTTAAATTACAGTGCGGCAAGTCGTACCATGCTTCAGGAATACGAAGTTTATTACAAGAATGAGAAGGGACAGCAAATCAAAGATTTGGTAAAATTCAACGTGTTAATAACGACATTTGAGATTATTATAACAGACTTTAATGAACTACGTGGATACAATTGGAGGCTCTGCGTCATAGACGAAGCTCATCGATTAAAGAACCGAAATTGTAAGCTCCTCGAAGGTCTCAGACAATTGAATCTGGAGCACAGAGTACTTTTGTCAGGCACACCGTTGCAAAATAACGTCAATGAGCTGTTTTCCTTGTTGAATTTCCTCGAACCGCAACAGTTTGCAAGTAACGAAGCATTCCTGAAGGAATTCGGTAATCTGAGCAGCGAGGGCGAAGTACAAAAGCTGCAACTGCTCTTGAAACCGATGATGTTACGTCGTCTCAAGGAAGACGTCGAGAAATCGCTGGCGCCAAAGGAGGAAACCGTCGTCGAGGTGGAGCTGACTAACATACAAAAGAAGTATTACCGCGGCATTCTCGAGAGAAACTTCTCGTTTCTCGCGAAGGGCACGACGTCGGCCAACATTCCGAATCTCATGAATACGATGATGGAATTGAGGAAGTGTTGCATCCATCCGTTCCTGTTGAATGGCGCTGAGGATCAGATACAGTTGGATTATAAGACCGGCGAGAAGGAAGATTCCGAGGCGTATTATCACGCCCTGGTGAACAGCTCCGGAAAGATGGTCCTGATCGACAAGTTGCTGCCGAAACTAAAAGCCAGTGGTCATCGAGTATTGATATTCAGTCAGATGGTGAAGTGTCTGGATCTGCTCGAAGATTATCTGTTGTATAAGAAGTATCCTTACGAGAGAATCGACGGTCGAATTCGCGGAAACCTGCGACAGGCCGCCATCGATCGTTACAGCAAACCCGACTCAGACCGGTTCGTCTTCTTGCTCTGTACGAAAGCAGGTGGTCTCGGCATCAATCTAACTGCAGCCGACACTGTCATTATCTATGATAGCGACTGGAATCCACAGAATGATTTGCAGGCGCAAGCTCGTTGTCATCGCATTGGGCAGCAAAAGATGGTCAAGGTGTACCGTTTGCTCTGTCGCAACACGTACGAGCGAGAAATGTTCGACAAAGCATCGCTAAAGTTGGGACTCGATAAAGCGATCCTGCAATCCATGAACACCAGCCAGAGCGGCAAAGATCCCAGTAATAAACAATTGACAAAGAAGGAGATAGAGGATCTGCTGAAGAAGGGCGCTTACGGCGCTATTATGGATGATGACAATGCTGGCGATAAATTCTGCGAGGAAGATATCGAGCAGATACTTGAGCGAAGAACTCAAGTTATCACCATAGAGGCAGAAAAGGGCTCGACATTTTCAAAGGCGAGCTTCGCTTGCTCGTCGAATCGGTCGGATATCGACATAGACGACCCCGACTTCTGGAAGAAGTGGGCGAAGAAGGCGGAGATCGATACTACGGAGAAGAAGGAGGAGGACGAGTTGGTGATATCCGAGCCCCGGCGACGGACGCAGATTAAGCGTTACGGTCACGACGAGTCGGTGGTCGACATGTCCGAGTTGGACAGCTCAGAAGAGAACAGCGACGACGACACGAGCATCGGCCTGTCCGGCAGAAGCAAGAAACGACGCGACAAATTCGGCAAGAAGTCGCGCAAGTTCTACGACGAGTACGTACCGCGCGAGGGCGAGGTTGTATATGGCAGTTGGGCGCGCAGCGAATGTTTCAAGGTCGAGCGCGGACTGCTGACGTTTGGCTGGGGCCGCTGGGAGGAGATTCTGCAGCACAGCCAGTTTCGTCGCGGTTGGCGTGAGGTCGACGTTGAGGATTGCGCGCGCGTCATTCTGCTCTACTGTCTGCGCTATTATCGCGGCGACGAGAAGATCCGTAGCTTCATCTGGGACCTGATCACGCCCATCGAGAACGGCGAAAAGGTGAAGTGCGTGTCGGTGAACACCGGCGGCAGGAACAGTCGACAGAAGAAGAAGGGCCGCGTCCGGGAGGGCAGGGAGACCCGGGGATCGGTTATCAACGGCGGACCGAGCGATCCCAATCACTGGAGCAACGCGGAGAAATTCGACGGTGACATCTTCCTCGAGAGCAACTACAGGAAGCATCTCAGTCGACACGCCAATAAGTAAATATAGACAGGGCTGTAAATTGCGAGGAGTTTGGATGCGATAGCGAACCCTGTCAAGGCTCATACGCGCAACTTTTCTTCCAAATGACGATAATGTGGATAATTAGTCTTTCCTTCGCTCGTCTGCTTGAACTATTTTAAATATCAAAACTCGTGTCTTCGCATAGAACTGTTGAACGCATTGGCACAGTTATCTGTATTCAGTTCCTCAATCTTTTATTCTTGTTTGGAGAGCTCGATTGACTGTTCCTCTTGTTCATTTTACAGAGTGCTGCTACGCGTACGAATGCTGTATTACATCAAGCACGAGATTATCGGCGATCTGGTCCAGCACATCTCCGACGGCGTTCACGTGAGGTGAGTCCACGTCGTTTTTCTCCTCTCACGCTTGTTCATACCATAGAACTACCATCTATCACGAATTCGTGTATACTCACATATGTGCTTACCACGGAGCTTAGCATAGTTGCATGTGCGATGTATTTGTTGATTATCCTGGGAGCTATACCTGTATGAGGAATGCTCATAGAGCCCGGATCGCGTTGGTCCACGTAGCTCTGCAGAACGACTACCAAGTTCGTTATTTTTTTTTACCCTACGCTACTAATATGAGATCGTTTTTATTTCCCATCCTGTATGCACGTATCAATACGTTAACATACATACACGTGCGCCCGCGAGAGAGAGACGCTCTTGGTAAAACTGTCGCGAGGATGATCGAATCTCTGCAACAGAGTGGTAAGCCATTAGGACTTGTCGCTAAGCAGTGCACTGTGATAATCGCGAAGGGAGATGATTGGAAACGTGAGGTTTCAAAATCTTTTCAGAAAAGGGGAGGGAAGGGGTTTCCGTGTCTACTTCGTGTGTTGAGTCGTATTGTATCCTTCTGAAATTTCGTTGCCGAGGAGAAAAATTTCCCGCGCCGCTGTGAAGGGAGGCACCTCCCTTGAAAGACCTCCCTTTGTAAATTTATTAACTGAAATTTTCCCTCTATTAAATTAATGAACACACACACTGGTATCGGCACGCAAGTTAAATTGGCAAACTTTGTAAATCGAAACCGCCCTGCAGTGCGTTGCCGATAGACCCTCCACAGTTGACGGAACGACCGGCGAAATGGTGGGACTCGACAGCAGATAAATCCTTAATAGTCGGCTGCTACAAACACGGCTATGAGAATTACGACCAGATGAGGACTGACCCCGCGCTTTCTTTCATTACAAGCTGTCCTCCCCCTTTCCAGAACTCTCAGAACAAGAGTACCGCCGAGTGAGTACCTTAGTATTTTTTTTCTTTATACTCGTTATTTGTTCTCTCTCTCTCTCTTTCTCTCTCTACCTCTTTCTCTCACTCTTTTGTCTCTTCTTTATGCCCTGCCTAACTGTCCTAACACTTATGCCGCTTGCACCGCTTTCTATACATATTATATATACGCTTGTACGGTCATAGCTTTTATTTTCAGCAATAGAATACGGCGTATATAACGTTCACTTCAGCTCTCGCTCTCTAACGTCTTTCGATATCTTCTTCGCGGAATATTATCGACGTGCGAGTGCCTGTGCACGACACGGCAAAAATCCAGAGGAAAGAGAATTTAAATGGAACCACGACATTGAGAACATGTGTGGCATCGTTCTTTCCAAGACTCCTCTGTCAGAGATACTTTATCGCATATATGAAAAAGCTGCGCGCATTAAAATAGATCATCTAACTTCGCTGCCTACCTATTTATAGCTGACGTTACGAAACATCGAAAGAGGAAACGATAAATTGAATCAATAGACACCATCCTCGTTTTTTTGTTCTAGTTCTCTTCATTTCATGTGGTATAAAATTTAGGCAAGAATATCGTATAAGATAATTTCGAGGTTTATTACGCGCGGATATGCGCAACGGACAGGCGTCTTGTTTGTTTTAAAAAGAAACACAGGAAATATTTCACGTTATCTTTATCCTGCGACTGTTTCGAAAATTTCAGCAGCAGCAGCAGAGATGATAATAGCCTAGAGAACGACGTAGACGATGGTGAGTCTCCCGGAATGACGAAGGACTCAAAGGACTCCGACAAGTTCAGTCGGGAAACACCGGCGGATTCCCCCGCTATCTCAAGTAAGGCGGACACGCCGATACCGGAGGCCAGCAGCAGCCACGACGGCAACGACAGTCTTCTCCCGGACGACGAGAAGACTTGGCCGACCGTGGTAGACCTTAATACACGGCTGCGTCGCGTGATATCCTCCTATCAACGAAGCGTTAGTAAAAAGGAGGACATCAAGGTTATTTCGAAACCCGGAAAGATGGGAATGGAGGGCGAGACCGCTTCTATGAATCATACCGGCTTGACGATGCACGAACCGCCCTTGAATATGCAAGGATGGGACTTGCAACAATTAGCGATGTATCTTTTGGTCAGTATACAATGTTTATTATCATCACTCCGTTGTTTAGTTTAAGAAATTCTACAATATTCGGGCCTGACGTCCCGTTTACAGAAGATGGAGAAAAGAGAAAAGATGGAGGCCATAGTGAAGGAACGAGAACGTACTCGTATCGAGGAGCAAAAGGCGAAGTGGACCCGCCGCGAAGAGAGCGAGTTCCTGCGAGTGGTGTCGACATACGGCGTCAATTACGACAGAAAGAAGGCCCAGTACGACTGGACCAAGTTCAAAAGTATCGCTCGATTCGACAAGAAGACGGACAACGATCTCACGGACTACTACATGTCGTTTAGAGCAATGTGCAAGAAAGTTTGCAATGCGAAATTGAACGAGGAGGAAGGTGCGTTCTTTCTAATATCTTGTTAACTGATCTGTTCAATTATATTTATATAAATTATAAATTATGTGTATATATATAATTGAATATGATTTTTTTATTTTATGTGAAGTATTTTACTTAGTTGACGTTGCAGACTTTACAGATGTTCCAGTGGATCAGCTGAGTCCTGCCAAAGCGAGACAAATACTCGATCGCGTCGATCTCCTGAGCAAGATTCGCGAAGAGATCCTGTCGCATCCGCATCTTGAGGAACGACTCTCGTTGTGTCAACCGTCGGGAGATACGCCGGATTGGTGGCAGCCGGGGAAACACGACAAGGAATTGTTACTAGGAGCGGCGAAACACGGTCTCGGGCGTACCGACATAACTATACTGAACGATCCGGACTTTTCGTTTCACAAGCTTCTTGCAAGAGGAATGTATGCGAGCACGCAGACTCCTAAAGTGATAGACAAATCCGAGAAAGCGATAAAGATCGAGAATAGAGAAGATATCTTGAAGTTCGACAAGGACGAGATACTCGTGAAACTCGAGAAAGGCGAGGGAACTTTAAAGATTGAAAAAGTTGGGGCGAAAAAGGACAAAGACCAAAGCGCTACCGATAAGAAACCGGAGGACTCTGAGATAAGTCAGGTGGAATTGACAATCGTCAAAACCGAGACGAAACCTGAAGAGAAGTCTATTGGTAGTTCGTTGACGATCACCAGTGTTACGAGAACGTCAGATGTGGACAACGTCGCTGTGAAGAGCGAGGAAAAGAGCGAGCTAGCGATAGAACCAGTTAAATGCGACAGTACCAAAACCAATCAGACAGGCACTGTCAAGTCGGCCGATGAAAAGACCGCAAAGGAAACTAGTGCGGAAAGCGCGGAGAGCCCTACTGTTGTGGAACTCGAGAAGGAGGATAAGATTGAGGAAAAAGACGCTAAAAACGAAGTCGAATCCACCGAGAAACCGGACGAGTCGCAAGCGCAAGACGCTGCGACCGAAACAGCTGAGAAAAACGAGACGGAAATCAAAGAGAAGGTTGAGAATGCCGAGAAGAGTGCCGAGACTACCGAGCCCGCTGTCGAAGATGATAAAAACAAAAACGTAAAGTCGGACAACGCACCGGCTAAAGAAGAGGTTGAAACGCAAGAAACAAAGAGCTCGGACGTTGCCAATGAGAAGGCGAAGGTCCCCCCGATCGAGGATAAGTGCAGCGTCCAGGCCGCGGAATTGAAGGCGATGTTCCCGGATCTAGAGGTGATACAACCGTTGTCGCGATTAACGCAGATCGATACGTTCGTTTTGCGGGACAAATCGACGGAGTACAATAACGAGCCTACGGTGATGCAACTCCTGGCGCACGGCTGCGCTAATACGTCAATAAAGTGGCCGAAGGTAAACTTCTTTTTTAACTTTTGATATCTTATTTGCACGTTGATATTAAAAAATGGTACAAATATATTTTCGATTAAATATGCGAAAGAAAAAGAAGTATATCTTAATCTTTTTAAGAATTACTTCTGTCTACACATATAAGTGTTAGTTGCATTTTATTATACATCTCGAATTCTATTATACTTATTGATTCGACTTTGCTTCTCAGGAGCACGCGATCGAAGCTCGTTTAATGCACATTGTGCACGCGATAGAGCACAAAGAATGGCCGGTGTCGGTGAACTTCAGTGCCGGCGAGGAGCTGGAGCCTGCGCAAAGCGAGAAGGAATGTTCGGAAGTGATAACAATCACCACGGACCACGGAGTGTCCAGAGCTATAGCGAGCGGTAACAACATCTCCGCTTCGAAGAAACGCAAGAGACATATCGCCATAGACGTAGAGACCGAGCGAGGTAATTTAAATCACTTGGAAACTAACAACGCGGTCACGTGTTCGATCGTTATTATTAATAACTAAATGTTGTTACTGTGTACTCATTTGCCTCTCATTTATTTTACAGCCAAGCTTCATGCGCTTCTCAACAGCAGTCACTTGAGCACGCCGTCGCCCGCACCTCTCAGTAAACCGGTTGTCCTCTCCGGCTCATCCACCTGGGAGATCAACGACGAATCCCAGTCCGAGGAATCGCGACGCTCCACGCCGGTCCAACCACCTCCGGCGCACCAACAAACGCGAACACCGAATATGCCCTTCGATCTGAAATACACCGTTCCGGGGAAAACGACCATCATACCTGGGACATCGAGCACTCTGACGCCTATCGACCTATCCGCTGGGTAAGATATTCGATGAAACACCTAATGATTAATATTATGAATATCTTTATGAAAATATTACAATGATTATGTTTCTTTTAGATATCCAAAGACAAGCACAGATAGTAACAAAGACATAATGAACGAGGTGCAGGATTTCTCTATGCCGAACAAGAATAAACAAGTCAGCAGCAATAAAGGGAAATTGGATAGTATGCTGGACAAACTCATGAAGAGAAAATCTTGCGTGAGTGCATTTTTTACTTTTAAGCTTGCATTTCTACATCCAGTTAAAATTATATCCAATTTTTCTCTTAACAGCCGACAGAGGAACCGGTGGTCGGAAAGGAAAAAAAGCGCAGGAAGTTGGACGAGATAGTTTTGGGGCTGAGCGCCGCGAAGGAGCAACAGAGCGGCCATTATCTCGAGCATGCCAAAAAGAACACGATTACGCCCAACGTGACAGTGACTCCGACATCGGCGCCGATGGGTCTTTCCAATCCTCCTCCGAGTGTCCAGAAGCCATTCTCTATTACCGTTACATCGATCCCGTCTTCTCGAGCCTCAAGTTCCACCACGTCCGTTTTACCGCCGCCGTCGTTGCACTCGCACAAAGATACCTTCTCCGCCTTGCTAGCTCAGGCCGAGCAGCAGAATCGTGAATTGAAGAAACAGCAGCAGCAACAACATCAGCAGCAGCAGCAACATCAGCAGCAGCAGCAGCAACAACAGCAGCAGCAACAGCAGCAGCAGCAGCAGCAGCAGCAGGCGTTCAATTCAGCACATTCGTCTTCCTCGAGCAGAAAGAGTTACGAGGCAATGATCGCGGACATCAACAAAGTCGCCGAGTACTCGTCCAAAATCAGCTCATTTTCGCACGAGGCCAAAGTGAACAAGTGGCTGGCGGAGCAAAACGCGATGACGGATCAACTGAGTGCGGAATACTTAAATGCTCCTCGACGACGCAGACCGCGCGTCGATCCGTCCTTGTTGGATTGGAAGAAGCTCACTGGTGAGGAGAACGTTGCTGTTATCAACCGAGCAACTGGCAAGAAGGTACGCTCATTCGGAATCATACCTATTTTTAAATTGCAACAATGTTACTCTTATTGTATTTTGTGTGCATTCTATCGCGTCTAGATAAATACGAATTGAAATTTGTTAGTATCAATATTTGAGGTTTAAATAATGCAACGAGTTTTATTTACATAAACTAATTATTTAGCATGATTATTATTTGACGTATTCGGGAATAATACACTGAAATTTTGCCACTATAAAACATTTACCAATAAAAATTCTTAAATTTCTAACAATTTCGAACGTATCGTTGAATAATTCTCCTTTAAATCGAGCAGAATTGTAAAGATTCATAGAATCACCTGCTTCCTACTACTTCCACGAGAAAAGTTAAATCTCTAAATTCACTTACTGAAGCTGAGTCTGTATCCTTCAGATGACCGGAAGTAAAGCGCCTCAGCTGAAACGGCTCGGATCATGGTTGATGGAGAACCCGTTGTTCGACGTTGACCCTAAGTGGGCGGAGCTCGTGAAGGAACGCGGCAATCTTCCGCATGATCTGCAGAAGAGATTGTCGGGTAACGAGCGCAGCAGCGTGAACAAGGGCAAGAGCCCGGGCAGACCGCCCATGATGCCCAGTCCGACGAGTCAGCAGTCGGCGAATACCGCCAACCTGGCGGCCACGTCGATGGCGTCTGGTCTCAACTTCCCGCTCGGTAATCTGAACAACTCGCTCCTGTCGGGCCTGTCGCTCGGCAATTTCGACCCGAAGAATCCGTTGCTAATGCCGTTCGGCGGTCTGACGAACCTGGGCGCGCTCGGCGGCCTTGGTAATCTCGGCAACCTGGGCAACATGAGCCTAACGAATTCGCTGTTCGCCAACCTGGCCGGGCTGGGTCTACCGTCATTGGCGGGCATGGAGGCGGCGCTGAACGCGCAAGCGGTAACCAGCAGCGCGGCGGCGGCTGCGGCAGCGGCAGCCGCGGCGGACAATTCGGTTGTGAGCTCGGTGACTGGTAGCGGCGGCGGCAAGAACACCGGCGCCGGTTCTTCGTCGAGCATGGGCGGTGGTGGAGGTGGCGGCAGTAGTAGCAAGTCACGTAGCAACAAACTAGATCAGCCAACGACCAGCAAATCCTCGGTCGGTGGCCCGTCGTCTCTGTCCGCTGTCTCGTCCGCGAGTTTGCCGACCCCCTCGCCATTCCCATTTCTCTTCACGAATCCCAGCCTTCTCTACACGCCGCTGACCCTAAGCGGCCTGAATCCGTTCTCCATGCAGTCCAGCGGCGTGTCGTCGGCCTACGAGAGTCTCGCCCAATGCGGCCTGCTGAATCCACCGACATCCAGCGCCTCCACGGTGCGCAAGCCCACCTCGTCCAGCAGCTCCTCTAGACAGCGCGAGACCGTACCGGAATCCTCATCCTCGTCATCGTCGTCGTCGTCGACAACGAAACGGAAGGAGCCAGAGAAGAAGTCGTCTAGGTACGCGGTGGATCCAGCCGTGGCTCTGCAGCAATACACGGATATGGCGGCGTTGCATAGCGGCGAGGAGAGACCGCAGCGGCGCGTCGAGTCGCAGCAGCAACAGCAGCAACAACAACCGCAGCCGCAGCAACACGAGAAGCGAGAAGCAGCTATGACAGAACAGGCCGATGTCGTGCCGGCGGATCTGTCGGAGAAGAAGACCGAGCGGAAGAGCAAAGAGCAGGAGATGAAAGAGGCTCTGGAACACCTAAGCAGGACTAGCGCCGAACTGGTTACGCGGAACATCGACGACGCTCCGAGGTCAGAGAAGCCGCCCAGTAAGAGTCGCAGCGGCACAGACAGCAATCAGAATTCTGACCAGCAACAGCGATCAACGCCGTCGGCGCAATCATCGCTAGAGGTCCTCCTGGAACCCGTTGCGAAGAAGATGCGCATTGAGATAGACACAAGCGCGAAAGCGTCCGCGGCGAGTAGCGGCGAGGCGCCGACGGTGGAGATCGAAGCTGTGACAAGACCGTCGCCGACGACTCCTACGAAGGTGACGCAGCAGCCCGCGTCCTCGCAGGAGGAGACATCCAGCGTCCCGTCCGTGGAAACGAGTACGGCCAAGAAGGAAGCGAACGAGGCAACGACGACGACGACGACAACGACGACAACGGCGTCGTCCTCGTCCTCGTCATCATCTGTGAACGCGACGTCGCCGTCGACGCAGAGTACCAGCGCGAAGGGCGACGGTGGTAAGCTCGCTGCTCCGGAAGCAGAGGAAGATGGCAAGGGCGGCACCAAGGCGGCGCCGAAGAAAGCGCGCAGTGGCAAACGTTTGAGCGTGGAGCCACCGCCAGAGCGTAAGAATCTTCGCTCGAGCGCCGGTAGACAGGCCCGGGCGGCTGCGGAACGGCAGGCGCGGATGGAGGGCGAGATGCAGCACTCCGAGCAGCAGCAACAGCAGCAGCAGCAAGACAGTCACGTGGCCGGCGAGTGAGTCACGAGGTCTCGTCGGACTGCTGCCGCGAAGAAACGGTAAGACGACAACCACTGTAAGCGCTTCACGGCGCGATCTGACGAGAGGAATTCGGTGGACGCCCAACGTGATCCACGTATTCTTTTTCTATTCTCTGATTCGACACTGCTCGCACAACGAAGATCTGTATGTAGATAATTCCCTGTTCGACGCTTAGCAAGCGCGAAAGTGTTGTTAGGTGTTGTTTCTATATGAATATCGCGACGAGACGCGAGTGTATCGAAAGGGGGCTACAAACATTGGTAGAGACTACCGTAGCCTTCGGTTCGGCTCCTCGGACGACGAAAACGTGTGTGAATAAATGGGACTCCTTCCACTTGGGAGATGGATCATGTATCGTTAGTCATTGACGGACCGTGTGTGTGTGTGTGACAGTGCACGTTTATTGAATTGAAACAAAAAAAAAGAGAGAGAACTCTCTCAAATACGAAGGCTGCGATAGTATTTTATCACTCGATACTTTGTGTAGTAATTAATTTTTAATTGCGTAATTATGATACAATAAAAGTATAGTTTTGTTAAATTTATTATCTACTATCTCTTATTGGTTTTAACCAGGGACTGTTTTATATAAAAAAATATATATACATATATATATATAAAATAAAATTGTGTACTCGCTACTGCGCATAAAGCAATTTACATGAAGCAACGGAGGAAAAACGGATTATAATCGTAATGTAGAGAAAAAAATAATTACAGTAATAACTTAATAAAAAAAAAAGAAGGAAGAATGTAAATATTATATACAATTATGCCTATAGAGACAGTAAGCAATCGTGTACTTGGAAAAGAAAAATGTATATAACACAGTGTACTTTTAATTACATTAGGTGAAACAATAAACAGCTTCTTTTGTTGTTTGCAAATACCAAGGATTCGAATCTCTCATTTTGTATCAATCTACTAAACGTATGTCTAGGAAGAAAAGGTTATTTATTAAATTAATCGTATATCTATTAAGTAATCCTAAAAGTAGATAGAGACAATTATTTAAATGAAGACACACAAATACTGCCTTTATTTAGATAATCAAAGGTGATAAGGAAATACATTGAATGGTTGATTTTATAAAATAATGTCCATATATTTTATGCAAACGAAATTTCATATCGTTACGACTTGTGCAGCTTAAACTTTATTGGAATCTCCTTTTGTGCACAGAAATCTTTTCTTACGCATCTATAGGTTGCGGCACAATACGCATGTACGTTTTGCCGGAAGGTAACATCACAGTCTTTATATTGCTGTAGGAAGCTTTGGCTTCGCTGTCCGACACGCTCGGATCGATCATCACGTCGTCCCCTCTCTAAAACATCGTACACACGTGTAAAATACATGTAAAAATTGACGTGATAAATCATAAATGAAATGTTTCGCTCGATATTTGATTGTAAACTGCGGAAAAATCAATAACTGAGAATCAAGTGAATTTTTTTTTCTCAAACCTACCTTCCAGTCTACAGGAGTCGCTACTTTGTACTTTTGCGTGAGCTGAAGAGATTCGATTACCCTAATTATTTCGCTGCAATTCAAAGCACGGAATTTTAGTGACTCACACGAAGGACAAGCGATACTTTGGAAAAACCGTGAACGATTCTCACTCGAAATTGCGGCCAGTCGTGGCTGGGTATAAAATTGACAATCGCATCTTCTTGGCTGGGTCGACCACGAACACAGCTCGCGCTGACATGGGCAATCCAGTTCGGATGTCGATCTCCGCGGGATCCAACATGCCCAATAACGTGGCCAGTTTTCTAGCTTCATCCTCTATTATCGGGTACGGAAATTCCTCGTTTATCTCGCCGTAATTCTTTATATCCTAGAAGAGCGTTTTGGTAACAGTACGGCTCTACGAGGGCAATTCGTGCAATCTGACATTAAATTTTATGAAATTGTAATAACGCCATTACCCAGATAGCACATAGTTCTACGAATCTTCTTTTGGAGCGCAAATATTCGAATCAAATATTCTATAAATAGAGAATGTCTTTGGAATATTCGTTCGGAATAATTTTTTAATATTCATCGAGCTTATGTATTGCACATTGTGCGTTGTGTAATACACTTATCTTGTGCAAAAGGCAGTGGAACCTGTGATCATACCATGTATAACCGACACGCTATATTCGACAGATTATTCTATTCACATTCGAAAAAGACTTCTAGTAGTACCAGTCGAATGTTCCACAAACATAAGACAAACGTATAAGAATGATCCAGGGAATATTCCAAATGTTCTTGACGAGTATTCTTAAAATGTTCATGGGAGTGTCTTGTGCTATCTGGGTATCAGAAAGAAGAAAAAAATGGTTAGAATTTTCGTAAGCAAACCTCTATCCATTTACGATGGGAGTCGACTGAGTTACAGGACAATGCGATCACTTTCACACGCAGTCTCCTGAATTCAGGCATTAGTTTAGCGACCCGCGCCAACTCGGTCGTGCAGACTGGTGTGAAATCGTTGGGATGGGAAAATAGGATACCCCACCTGTATTTCGGACAGACGTCACGTGTAAAACAAAGAATTGTGTAATTCAACAACTATAACCGTTATGTGTATATGTATATGTGTATAAATTGATAATATAATTAATTTTTATCAATTTCATATATGCGATCAAAATATATGCATTATACACACACACACATACACCCAAATCACATAATCTGTTAATTACATGCGTTACATGACGGGACACAAATAGACCACAAATAAACAAGGTGTCTCAGGTATTTGCGTTTACACGGTTTACATCTCGAGCGTAACAGTTTACGAATATCTTGGAGGATGCGTAGCAGGGTAACGCCGCCATTTTTAATTACAATCCTTTTCTTATCTCACAGGGTGTTTTCCAGCAACGTACACAGGCGACACTGTGTAACACGGTGAATCGTCTTTGCCTTCGTTGTTTGCCATTATTAAACGAGGATAAAATGATTCTCTACATTACGGTGTCAATTTGTGTCTCTTGCTGGACGGCACCCACGATCACGTGGAAGCGAAGTTTATTTAGGTTACGAATATGTTGCACGATATCTTACGAATCGCCCAGCCACTCGTGAAATTTGATCGTGCCCATCTGGGTGTCAGCTGAGAAGTTGGGGAACACCTCGCCGAGTAAAACCATTGTGTCTCGCTTGCGAAATGTATGTACAATTGTTACAATAAAATGCTAAAGGAGCGCACCGCTGATCCTCCGTTTACACACGTATTTATCGAGCGCAATTGAACGGTGTCGTTCGCCGGGTGGAGGGGGAGATCCCGCACATGCGCACGTAAATACTCGGACGACAGTGTGGATCCTCCATAACATTTGTCGTACGATAAAGCGTGTTGATTGGTTACAAAATGGATAAATTTTTTGGAACCTGCGAGCTCTTCCGATTTTTTCACTTCCCGATAAAATTATCCGGAGGTTAATCTCAAGTTTTAGCCAATCACGTGCATGGATCTGGTAGTTTATCTCCTGTTTAATCGCAACATAACTGGATGTGAGGAAATCGGGCATTAGTAGGCGTTTATAATTTCGCGCGTTTTTACGTCTTTTCACTACGCATGCTCAGTCAGTCTACGCTGCTCGCGTATGACAGGTTCTCTAACCTGTCAAGTCGCTAACTGTAACGATTAATTTCTCGCCTCGCGGGGCAGAGCGACACTTTTTTTTCTGCCGGATTCTTTCGTTGCGCGTAAAAACGCGTCGATTGAGACCAGTTTCGTTGACTTTTGAGGTACTGTAGCTAAACTGAAGAAATACCATATTCTCTAACGTTGTTAACAATTTTGGTTACCAAGAAATGGGGGATACAATGTTCGAGCGGTAACGAGGAACGCAAATAGAAATTATAACGAAATTATACAGATCAATCGAGCTCCAGCCAGAATGGCAGCCATCCGGCACACCTTGCAGAGGGAAGTGTTCAACCTGAGCGACGAGAAGCTGCTCAGCGTGTGCTACGTCAGCAAAGCTTACAAGAAGAAGAAGATGAGCTTTTTGTGCCTGGCCACGACGACGGACACGCCGGGCTCTCTCATATTGTACCAAGTGAAGAAGAACGACAAGAATGTTTATAAGAAGAAACAGTCGTGGCCTCTGAGCGACATACAGGTCGTAGACGGTGTGAAAAACGACTCCATGGACATCGAGATGCATATTGACAAGGTTTACAAGTGGTCGTCCACTACGGCGCAGGAGAGGCGGACGTTTATCAGTAATTTGTACACTTATTCGTGTAGCCTGACTCAGAGGCCGGAATTCAAGAATATTCCCAAGGAGTGGCTGATCGATCCAACTGCGTTGAAGGAGAGTGACAGCATCACATTTACGCCTGGTATGCCTTTGTGGGCAGGTTGTTATTTTCAATTTCCTCATAGAGGAAGCTCTGTGAGTTAAGGTACAAATCAGAAATTGCTTCAGAATTTTAACTCGCACACAAAGCTTTCTCTATGAGTAAGCCAGAAACCTGTAAGCGCACAGGAGAAAAATTAGAAACTTGCGCATGGCTTCCTCATAGAGAATTGCGAATTAAAATTCTGAAGAAGCAATTTCCGATTTGTACCTTGACTCGCAAAGCTTCCTCTATGGGGAAGCAAAAGAACCCGATGATTGGACGCTTCCATTTGAAATGGTGTAACAACTTTCAGATCTTTTGGCGTCACCTATTAGTTCGGATTACCAGCCTATCACTGAAAAAGAAGCTGCGGACTTGAAACAAATGATGGAAAATTGCGAATACGCCGTTTCCAACGCCGAGCTCTTTATGGAAACTCTTTCAAAAGATTTATCTATTCTTGATGGGGTAAAACAATATTTCCTACGAAAAGTATTCCAATAGACACAAGTTAATGTCACGAAATTCACAATATTAATTTATCCTATCCTTGCTTAGGAAAATGTACATTCGGTCTTGGCGTCAGAGCAGAGAGTAACGCAGCTGATGAACAGCATAGACGCGGCAATAATCGAAGCTTCTATCGTAGAAGCGCGATTGGCGGCGTACGATGAAGCATTGGGAAGAATAAGAGAAGTTATGGCTCGAGTCGGGCAGAAAAATCAGGCTATACATACGGCGAATAATAACGCGAGACTCTTGTTGGATAAGCTAAATTTAGTGATTGTAAGTAAATAAGATACGATACGATTGCGAATTAATTTTTTTATTCCATTCGCAAAGTGATCGAGGCTCTGTAATAATTTTATAAAGAAGCGTCTACCAAGATATATGATCAAAATCGTATTTCCCGTCAGATCCCACATTGATATCGTTTGAGGGATGAACTGTATAATTTTCTTTCCAGTCGCAATTAGACATTTCTGCAACGCACCAACGTACCTTGAACGAAGCCGAGCTGCCAGGCGAGAGAGAAGAGCTTGGCCTTGCTGGCGCGGCGCTCTTAAAAGCTATCACAGCACCTCTGCCACCGGGCCTGGATAAGCTGAGCGCTGTTACCGAACAGAAGAGGCGGTTGGACAAACTCAAAGCGAAGTTCTCGGTCATCGTTGCTAGACATTTGAACAATCTTTTTATACACTTGGTAATTTTTTATAATTATTTTCAATATTTTATCTCTTTTTCTCTTAACAATATGATTATGTGTATATAGTCAAAACGGGAATACCTTTCTCAATTTTCCAACCGAATTGTAGGGAAACGATATTGGAGACACATCGACCTCCATGACAGATCTAATATTACCAACTCATCAAGGAGTTCATAACGAGCTTGTACCGTATACCGAATTAATGCAGCTGCTAAGAGCATTGGACAATAAAGCCTTTGTACAGTTGACTAAAGTATATACTGATACCATGAGCAAATTGTACAAGAGAGATCTGAAACGCTTCTTCGAGGAGGCTAAGAATAAGCTCGTCAGCAAACGTTTGCAAGGTAGAAGCGATAGATTTTCTGCGGTAGAACTCTAGTTAGTAAATAATGAAACGATGAGCGTTTAAAAGTCTTCAGTTAGACTACAATGGCATTCTACTCACTTGTGTTCTACTGCACAGTTTCTACATCATTCTCATAAATCGTATATAAAGGAACGGAAAGTTAATAAGGAGCTATGTGTGTTTTAAGCAAATACATCCAAGTCTAGCGGTCAGAAGGGCGAAGATTTGCTTAATCCGGCGCCCATCTGCTTGCTGAGTGGCGAGATGTGGACCCCGATGGACGAAGGGAATCTTTTAGACTCTGTACTTGATTGTGTGCTTTCGCAGATGCAACCGGTGTGTCTCGCCGAGCAAGGCTTCTGTGTCTCATTTCTCCAATTGGACTCTGTTCTCTCGCCTTCCAAAGTAAGTACATCGGTAAAAAAAAAGTTATTTCCAACGTATGTCTATGAATATTTGTTGCTTTGTGCAGAGCAGCGAGATGGAAGAAGTGGAGAACGTAAGTAACGGCGCGGCGAGTCCTGGGTCGGTGACTTCGACGACGAGCAAAAGACTGGAACGTCAGGTGAACGAAGACGTGCGCGCGACTATGGCGGCGATATTTCCGTCGTTGGAAACCGAGTTGAACAACTTTATCGGTTTCCTGGATAAGATTGACAGCTTGTGAGTAGAGTAAAAAAAGTGATTTTGCTACTTAAAATTCTTCTGGAGTTTTTACCAAGGGACTTTCAACCAATGTTGTATATAATCTATCTAATTCTTATTGTTATATATTTTAATGTGTAATTTATACTATTTGCAGTTGGTGTATGTACGTATTAGTGCGTCTATCACAGCACGTCATGTCCGCTCAAGATACCGGCTCGTTTCTATCGATGACATTCGCGTCCGCTCTGATCCACGTGAAACGTGCGTTCGACAAATTCATGCAAGCGCAGCTACAGTCCATATTATGCGACACGAAAGTCAATCGTCGGCACAAATGCGGTATATTGCCGTACATAGAGAACTTCGGGCCATTTGCGAGAACCGCGGAGAAGATTTTCCGCAATTCCGACAGGAAGGTCGACCTCGAGAAGTGGTACACAAAGCTCGTGAGCACTATGTTCGAAGCCATTGTTATTCACAGTCGAGAACACCACAAGACACCACAGGAAGTAATAAAAATGGGTAATTGGAGAATTCAGTATTTAATAAAGTTGCTTAATTTCAATTACTAATAATTATCGCGTGTAATAATACTTGTCGCGCTTCGCAGAGAATTTTCATCATCTCTACGATCTGCTCTCGCAACTAAAAATCTCGGTTTTGGATCACGAGCGGAAGGAAGCCAAGCAAAAGTACCAGGACGCGCTTCGCGCTTATGTTACGCAGTACTTTGGACGGCCTCTTGAGAAACTTAATGTAAATTGCTATTTTTTTATTCTCCTGTGATTGCACAAGAACACGTTATTTAAGAACGTAAATTTTGTTTTAGCTCTTCTTCGAGGGCGTGCAAGCCAAGGTAGGGGCCGGCGTAAAAGAATCTGAAGTCAGTTACCAGATGGCCTTCAGTAAGCAAGAGTTGCGACGCGTAGTGAAGGAATATCCGGCGAGAGAAGTTAAGAAAGGTCTGGAGAATTTGTATCGAAAGGTTGAGAAGCATTTGTGCGAAGAGGAGAATTTGTTACAAGTAAGTGGAACATGGGAAAGAGTGTCGTACTCCAATTTGACGATACGATTTCCTGTAGGCACGAAGATTACTTTCTTGTCTGTTATAATTGTGTTATTTATTTTTAATATTTCAGGTTGTTTGGCGCGAGATGCAAAATGAATTTATTGCGCAATATAGAAACATCGAAGAACTAATACATCGCTGCTATCCGGACAGCAACGTGACACTCGAGTTTGCTATACAGGACATTTTAGAATTTTTCTCGGAAATAGCGCGATCTCATTGAATTAAAATAGAAGTTTCTTTTCATTGTTATTTAATTCGACTTGGCTATTAATACGATTATTATAACAGGCTTATACAAAGAATTATAGATAATTTAGTGGTTCGTTTTTGCGTGATATACAATATATATGCGTATGTATATCTTAGATATAGCAATCTTTTATCGTGAAAAATTGTGTAGCGCTCAAAGATAATAAAAAATTTATTTTAATATTACAGAGCGAGAGTCAAGTGGTAAAAGCTTAATTTATATATTATTTATATTTAAATATATGCTTTTCAATTTTTACGAGATCGTTGATTGCTTCAATCGCTTTTAGGTAACACAGGTTGCCTATCTTGCACAGACTTCTTAAGATAAACATATTCATAAATATGAACTATTTATTGAGGATAGTACAAGTTATTGCGTGTTGTACTCGCACAATAAAGTAATAACATTGTCAACAGCTGCGTGGCCAGATTGCTTCTGTATCTATCTTTAGCTAAGATTTTTATAAATGTTTATTTGCTTTCAGCGGGCTCCTCGGGTGGGTTAAAGTTGAAGAATATAATGCCCGACACTTTTACCTGAAAATAAAGTGCAGGAATTATATAACTGTTCGCATCCATCTCTAATTTGCGATACACGAAAAATATTAAGAATATATAAAAATTAGAAATATAAGAAAATTCTAACGTATACCAGGAGACATACGAGAGTAATTGCGAATTCGGTTGCTCACTTAGATTTGTTGATTCTTATATTTAAGAATAGTTTTAAATGTCTCTTGAAATATTTCTTCGTTACTAAAATGATCCGTAGCAACCGTACGATTATTTTTTCGGCTAGATGGTTTTTAAACGTGTATTTAAGACGATCTAAAATATGAGAATAGACTATAAACTAGCTTTAGAACGCACTCAGTGCGCACTAGTGCGAGCAATGGAATTCGCTATAAGATCTTGTAATTAGATTGCGTTTAGTATTATCTGAGTCAGTGCAAACTTGACACGTACAAAAGTTATGGTGCCAACTAGGACAGCGAGACCAGCGATTAGTTGAGCATTGTACACCTTCTGCCTCGAGTCGTAGTGGTCTTTCCACGCCCCGCACGACTGAGGTATGTCATTTATTGTCGCCTTTTTAATATCCACTGCGTGCGAACTGCTGGACCGAGCGCCTTTGCAAAAAAATTATACATTTAGATGAAAAGTAACGTTGTCTTTCCTACTCTTTTAGTTTATATGCGTTTGTATATTATTTTCGATTTATATGTTCACGCAACAAATTAACAATTTGAACAGTGACAATACCGACTCAAATAACAGATCTCTGATGATTTAGAAATAATTTTCGTTTTGGACGAAACGTCAGTCTCAGGCCCGGTCTACGACGAGCGGTTTCTGGGTGAAAGAAAAAGGACTGACATGTAGTTTTCGACTTCTGACCAACAACTCACTGTAGACCGGGCCTTAAACATTCGATACCACCTCGAGTGGAAAAGTTGTGTCGCGAAGAATCAGAAGAGGAGTCTATCGAAGCCAAAACAAAGTATGTTCTCCGATAAACGACACGATTGTGTTAGTTTTACAAGCATTGTCAGTTCCTCGTCGTCGAAAAATCGTTACTTGTCGAAATCTAAGGAAAGTTGGCAGGAAGCGTTGACTTAATAATCTATCGTTAAAGACACGGCGGATTATTTATCGTCGTCGCGAATTCGCGCAGAGGAACATTCAGCAGCGCTCGCACAGAATCGCAGATTATTATGTAAGGGCAGATTGAATCGCGCGATAGAACAAGCGGTTTTAAAGCAAGGATAATCTCACCGCCTCTGACCAAGTTGCGAGCAATCGGCCGCAACACGTGATTGAGCATTTCGGCGGAATTGACCTGCGTTCGATGCAGTCACGAGAGATCCGCGAAATGTGACACAGGACAGGCGAAACGTCGATGAAACTCGAGAGAACAGCACTCGCCTACGAACTTATCGTACATAGAACGTGAAATGTGTGCGAGGAGCACAGTAGCTTCGATAAGAGACCACGTGATCGTGAGACGATGCGCCATCTCGCGGGTTCGTATATGACAATGGACAACATATTCGGTACCAAAATGGCCGCGATGATAGATTCCCCTCATCCTTCAGAGCCAACTCCCCGCGTCCATAGTATCAAGTAAAGCCCGCTGCAGACGATGCTATTTTTCCTGCTGGATTGCTTGCGATTTAGTAAATTACTATCATTGCACCACTCAGCATTCAGGATTCCTAGTAATTTACTAAATTGCAAGCAATCCAGCAGGAAAAATAGCATCGTCTGCAGCGGGCTTTAAACGCCGGCATCGCCGGCATGGGATGTGTTCGAAAATGGATTTAGTTACTGCCAGTGAAAACAGTATAGTTGGTAGCAATGAAAATTACTGGTGCTGCGTTTTTCGCACGCCAGTAAAGTCAGTATGGCTGGGAAATTGACCAATCACAGTTCATTATTCGACTTACGACATCCAATGTAGACCCAGCCTTACTGACTTTACTGGCGTGCGAAAAACGCAGCACCAGTAATTTTCATTGCTACCAACTATACTGTTTTCACTGGCAGTAACTAAATCCATTTTCGAACACATCCATGGTCGCTCTCAGGTTTTCTGGTTCTAGTTGGAACTTGGAACTTTATAAGAACTAGTTGTTCTTATAAATTTTAAAAGGTCCACGTGAATTGTTTACGGTAAGTTTTTGCAAACGAACCAAGTAATATAAATTGGATAATACAATACAGGAAAGAGAAATCTTTGGTTGTTCACACATTTGAGAATTAATATTAAAAATATAGGTTAAAATTTAAAACATTTAAAATCGTTGTTCAGCGTCGGGTTAAGATTTTTTAGCCCTGGGGCTATTGGCTTTGTGGAGATTCTTAACGAAAAAATACAAAAGGTGTACACAAATCAATTCTTTTTTATTTTCATAAATCTTTCTATTCTCCTTTCTTTCAGAAGAGATAGAAGGAGAAGAGAACTTCGAAGCATTTGTAGCGGTAGTTTGACCGCAACCGAAATAATATTGTTCAATGCCATTTACTTCTAATGACCGTCCAATGGAAATCTTGCATTTAGGTAAAACTTTATTTAAATTATAAACGAATCACGTTACTTACAAAATTATGTCGGGTGACACCCACTAATAAACGAGGCCACCCTCGACTTTTCGCGACACTCTAAGCTGTGCTGAAACTATAAGTAACTGGAAATAATGCAAACACAATATAAATTTCCGCCTGGGAAACATTAATTTTCTAGGAACATAAATTACTTATTTACACGTATAGACACAGATGTAAACTACCATATTTTACACGTATATAAATGCCCAATTCTGATTGAAGCGATACAACTGATTACTTTGCATGCAATAGAGGCAGAAATGAGTCCAAGCCGCCATTACATGTGCCGCATACATAGACATATGTATATGTATGTACACGCACCATCCGAGATATATACCAATGACGATTTATATGTGTGCACGATACGGAACGGAGTCGAGCAGTATTGAGCATGACAAATCAATGGATGGGTGACCGCTTTGGAACCGCTGGAACATCGCGTGCTTATTGGCACTTCCGTTTTAATTTCTTTTTACATAACAAAAAAAATATATATATGGTATCTACATCTTATTTTTCTCTGTGCATTATCGGCACGAATCGTAAAAGCAAACAAAAACATCTCATATAATTGAAAATAATCAAAACCGGTTCATATAATGCCAAGAAATTGCGTGAGAATTGCTTTTATATATATATATATATATATAATCACCCTTCGATATATATATATTTCTTTTTATAAAACGTAAAGGTACTTAAATGTACTAAAAAGGAAAGAAACCTTAAACTTAACTAAAATTATAACTTAACTTACGAGCGTTGATCTTAATAATAAATTTTACACCTATTCGGGGACCCTGAACGTAATTTGACATAAATTAAAATAATGATATGTGAGATTATCATCTTAATTACATAATCCGAACCGGAACGTAAATAAGTATCGATTATCTCGTAAAAATAATAACCATTGACGTATAAATAATATTATTCATTGCGTCACGTGTAGATCTGTAACTAAATTATACTCTAATATATATTGTATGGCGAAAAAAAATTAAATTTAATCGCTTTTGACATGCACTTTCTTTTCGACACTTATCTTATGGGATTGTAAAGATATCAGAGTATAATGCCAATGGTTTTTTTTTACCCAATTTTACACATTTACATTTTTGTTAATGCCATTGATTCGGGCAATTCAACAAATAATGCAATTCTGCTTTTCTTGTACATTCCCATTGGCCTTCTCGATCTCCTTCAGTAGCGTGTGAAAAATATCTGCAACAGACTGTCGAAAAGCGTGAATTTAACGAAAGTTACGCAACGTCAAGAATGAAAAGGTGTCCGCGGGCATACTTCATTTTGTTTCGCACTGGTTTCTAGAAATGCTGCGTTCCAACTTGTTGCTAAACGCTTCCCTTCGTCCGTCGTGACCATACGATCGACATACAGGTCCGTTTTGTTGCCCACTAGTACGATCGGGACGCTGTAAAGAGAAAGACGACGCTCGTGAGTTCAATATGCGCGCGAATATATAAAAATATACGAACGCCGAGGACGCAAATACTCACTGGAGCTTTCCAGTGATGTCGAGTAATTTGTCATAAATAATTTGTACAATCTCGAAACTCTTTTTACTGGTTATGCTATACACCAGGACGTAGCCGTGGATGTCCATCGAATACTGGGTAGGAAATATACTATATTCATCCTGGCCAGCTGTATCTACTAACTTGAGTTCGTAATCTTGACTATTTACTCGCGTATTCTTTGTGAACGCTGTAACATACGAAACGCTGCTGTAGCGCCACTTCGTGCAATCTATATTTCCACGTATTGGCGGCTGCTCAGAATTAAATCATAAAGACTAAAAAGAAACGAGAGTATTCCTTACTATTTTCTATTGTAGGGTCGTACGAGTCTACAAATTGTCCCTCGACGAACTGTATGCTGAGGGATGATTTACCTGTTAAAAGTTGAACGCACGGCATTAGATCGCTCATACCTTCAAAATATACAAACGCAAACGAATATAGAAATGTAACTTTCGCAGTTACATAATGACTCATATAAATCGCTGTCCATTTTCGCCAGCGTCGTTTAACTTTGATCTTGACCTAAGTCATCTCTTGTCCCTTTTTTAAGGAGACAAATTAGAAAGGCTGGTGGCAGAGAACGATCCGTCAACGCCTAAGGATCTGAGTAAAAAGGTTGTTGTGTTTACGATCCCGTAGTAAGACGCGAGCCGATGTCGGAAGTCAACACACAAAGAATTGTCGTAGACACATGTGGTGTTCATCGCATCACAAGGCGACATACGCAAGGGGGAAAGCGCTGACCAAAATCTTGTACACCAATGCCCGCTAATGCCCAGTGGGCATTAACTTTGTCTTATTATCTTTATGATGCTCCAGCAAGGCCCAATGCCCAAACTAATACCCAGTAATGCCGCAAATCTGTACACCACAATGCCCTCAGCGGTTTCCCCCTCGGACATACGTATAGGACAATTCTTTGTGCGTTGACTTCCGACACAGATTTACGTCTTACGGCAGAATCGTAAACGGTTACAACAATCTTTCTGCTCAGGTCCTAAGACTGTCTTGGTCATAGACGTAGGGCGAGGCAGAGAGAAACGTATGTCGTGAAAGGCTATTGTATACGACCTACATTTTTCTCCGCCGTGCCTTAACGTCTACGACTGAAGCCAACGGCACACGATACTACTTTTCTCTACTGGATTGCTCAGAGAACCAATAAGGATGCAGAGTTTTAGGTCAGGTGATTTAAGGCTAAATCCTGATTAGTTTTCGTAGGCTGACGGCAGGGACCAATTCGTGAGCGCTTAAGACTGTCTTAAGTCGCAGACGTAAGGCGAGGCAGAGAAAAACTCAAGTCGTGAAAGTGAGCTTTTCCCTGCCTTACGTATACGACTAATTGTAAGACAGTCTTAGGCGTTTACAAATCGTTCTCCGCCATCAGCCTTAGTCCCAGTCTACAATAGATGATTTAAGCCCTAAGCTTTAAGAAATTGGCCAATCACGGTCAAGTATGAGTAGAATGCGCGACTGTGATTAGTCAATTTCTTAAGGCTTAGGGCTTAAATCTCTATTGTAGACTGGGACTTAAGCGTTTACGGATCATTCTTTACGCTATCGAGCCTTAGGCTGATGGCAGAGAACAATCCGTAAACGCTTAAGACTGTCTCAGTCGTAGACATAGGGCAAGGTAGAGAGAAACGTAAGTCGTGAAAGGCTATTGTATACGACTTACGTTTCTCTCTGCCTTGCCCTACGTCTACGACTACGTCAGTCTTAAGCGCTTATGGATAGTTCTCTGCCATCAGCCTTAGTGTCAGAGGACAAAGCTATTACGTTTATACGTACGAGAAACATTGCTTTTTACTCTGACCCTTAACACATCCGTACAACAAAAGACGTCCACAGCGTGTGTCTTACCTACGGATCTGTAGCCCATAATAGCTATTTTCCTCTGCTTTGGCGGCATGTTGTAGCATGTACAAACTGAAAAGCAGCAAGAATATTCAGTGGAGGCTGATGCATAATCCGGCTAAAACCTGCGAACAAGGGAAGAACTTTGTAGCCCGACCTTGTAACCCGCAGTGTCCTCCTCCTCGCGTTCGTTAGCACCGCGGAGTCGCGGCGGCGATAACGAATCCGCGAAGCCTATCTTGCGCCAGAGGGGCCGCAAGAGACGCAGTGTCCCTCCTGTCGAGGAACAAACCGAGGGAGAGGCGAGCCGGGGGGGGGGAGGAGAAAAAAAACGGAGTGGACGTTGCGCAAATCAGCCCGGATCGGCGTCGTTCACGTCACATTTACATGTATTTACGTAACGACAATCGCGCGCGTTACAGGACGCTCGATTCCCTTTTATCCGTTACTCACGGACGCGAGTTATCGCGAGGCGTTTTCCGGGCGATACGCGCCTCTGTTATTACGACGCGAGAGAGCAAATGATTTAACAGGCGACGTCGTTATCGGACCTCACGGTAGTAAAGTAGTACGTACATATTTATCCGCAGGCCTGATCGACGATGGATTGGCGATCTCGTGAGAAAAGCGATGAAATAAAAAGAAGAGAGGAGAGAAAGAGGGAGGGAAGAAAGGAGGAGGAGGACATACGCATGTACGTTGTACGTCGGAAGTGCGCCTTACATCGGTGCGTGACGCCCCTTGGACCACGGAAGCGGACTACGTGTTGTCCCCGAGGGACCGACGGCACTAATCGGCGTGCACCCTTCGCACCTCGGCGCCGTAAGGAAAGCGACGTCCCCGAACTGCGCACCGTCCGATGCACGTACTACGGAGTACGGAGTTACGGACGCACGCGTACGCGCGACGCACTAACGGGGGAGAGAGAGAAATAGACGACAGGGGTGGGGAGAGGGAGGGAGGGAAAGAGAGTGAGAGATGACGTCAATGACGGACGTGTGTACGGCGTCACGCACGCCTTCGCGCGAGAGAGAGAGAGAGAGAGAGAGAGAGAGAGAGAGAGAGAGAGAGAGAGAGAGAGAGAGAGAGAGAG